TCCCGGTCCAGCATAACGCAGGGCAGCTGATCCAGGTTATCCTTGCAGGTGTGTTGACCAGAGTGCTAAATGATTCGTTAACAGAAGGTGGGAGATGTAGAAAAGTCCCTGCAGACCCGGCCAGAGGTTTGCCTTGTCCAACAACCTGACCGGGGATGCGCATAAAAAGACTTGAAGCTGAAGCCCCTTCCCCAGTGCTGGTGTGGTGTGGTGTGGTGTGGTGTGGTGTGGTGTGGTGTGCTGGGAATGAACAACTCCTTTTTGTTTGCCCTCAGGGCTGTGGGGTCAGACATGCCCTTGACCCTGCATGTAGAGTTTCCATTTTTAACTTTCTACAAAAGCGGTGGATTCGGTTACGGGGGATCACGGCTCTTTCTAAAAGCCGCGTGTGCTAAGTAACCATCGGGCATCCTGTGTTGGTACGTTCCATAGGCCAAGGGGGTGTTCAACTTGTCTTCTTTAAAATGATGCCCTCCAGGTGTGTTGGTCCACAACTGTTGCAATTTCTAGCCAACTGGAAATGCTGGAAACAGTGGGAGTCTGGAGGGGGTAAGTTGGGGCAGGCTGGCTTTAAAAGGATGACGTCCTTTCTGCTTTGTCTGAACCGGAGCCACTCAGCTTTGTTGGGTGTGCCTGCCCCCTTTCCTACAATGGCCACCCCCTAGTAAGGCACACTGTCTCTCCCTGGCAAACAGGATTCAAAGGTATACTGCCTCGGAATTGGGAGGCTCCATTTAGCTTGGAAGTTTCCGTTTATGGGTCGGAACTCGGAGGTTCCAACCCATCAAAACTGCATTTCCCCAGCAAAGGCGTGTGTGGCACCTTGGGCACATGGCACTGAGGCCACCTGGGAAGTGGGGCCAATCAACTTCCGAGCAAAAACCCACTGGATTGTGCCCTTCTTTGTGCTTCCTTTGGTAAATCTTTGAAGTTTGCTTTTGGTTTGACCAGGCGGTTCTGCATGCAGCCATCAAGCCATTGTTCTGAGCATGACTTGTGGCAGTGTGGGGGTGTGGGGGGGGGATGAAACACCTGGGAGCTGCAAGAAAATGTTGCAGAATGGGGGCTTGCCACATAGAGTTCCAGCTACTTCATTCCGTACGCCCACACACCTTTTGCCCCTTAAAAAGTCCGGTTCTGTATCTGGTCCTCCTTGGACTGCTTGGAAGTGGCTTCCCCTCCCTCCATTCAGGTCCCCCTCCCAAAAAAAAAAGTTGCATCCTTCTGCAACCCCTGGGGTTTCCCCAGACCTGCCCACACCTCCCTCCTGGGCATGGGTGGTGCTGCTGGGCATCCTCGTTCACCTCTGAGCACCGGAAATAGCAGCGAGGGCGCAGCATTAGCAGCCTTGGCCGCGGTTCCTGTTTGCCCACCGAGTCCTGGCGCCCACCTGCGTGCAGAAGGGATGCTGGCTTGCAGCCCAACACGGCTGGAGGGCGCCAGGTTGGGAGCAGGGGCCTCCGGCCATGATCAAGGACCCTGGACTGGCCACAAAACCCAGCAGGTTTTATTTATTAATTTACATATGCACTCACGCACTGCCTGTAACTTCCAAGGCCTTCCTAGGTGGCTTACAATACAGTAAACATTAAAATTGTAATAAAACACATTAAAACCCATTATTTATTTATTTATTTATTTATTTATTTATTTATTTATTTAAAATGTTTTTATGCCGTCCCCTATGCAAGGCATCTCGGGACGGCTCACAGTCAAAACATTAAAACAATAAAATTACATACATTAAACCGATCTAGCTGTAAAAGCAATAAAACACAACTGTTACGATTAATATTGCAAGGCATCTTGGGACGGCTCACAAGATTAAAACACAAACAAATTAAAATATCTATAATAATGGTATAAAAAATGGCCAGAGTTTTGTGGGTGAGGCTCGTGGAATCTAGAATCAAATATTGTTGGCTAGAATGTAAGACGTGGCATCGGTCTCGTAGTGCAACTATCTGGTCTGACCCAGATATTCCTTTCTAATCCCCCCCCGCCCCCGCACAGTAAAAAATCCTCCAAGGTGAGTTGCAGGAGGGGAGGTTATTCCCTTCCCTGCGAAAAGGAAGTGGTGGCTTTCTTGCAAATTGGCAATCATTAATCCCTGGTCCTCTCATAGCGAAACTAACTAGTGAAACTATGACAGAGAATAGCAAACACAAGTAGAAACTTGTGTTTGTCTTGTCAGCCCTGGGAGTGCCATTTATTGTCATTGGTACTTATCTTTACCATATAAGGGCAAGGCCTGCTTTGCAGCAAAAAGGGAAAAAAATCGGGGCCTTATAGGGTAGTGGCCGGCCAGCCGGTCTGCTGGGCTGAGCTCCTCCTTTGGGAGCTGGAATTGCATTACAGGGTAGCTTCTGCAGCAGGAATTTTTCTTAATAATCCTGCCCTGATTCAGTTCGCGAGTAATAATTCATACCTTTAAATGCTGAAGGTTTCACTTTTTAAAAGAAAAGGAAAACTCATTTTTAAAGGGTGTAAAGTGAGGCCCAGGGTACAATCCTGAACATGCAGACTGGTGAACAGGCCTGTGAGAGTTTCCTTCAGAGTAAACATGCACCAGATTTCACCGTTGCGATGCTGTTTTTTAATAGATAAGCCAGTTTGCTTGCAGTTTCCTTTTAGAATAGAAAGCCCTTGCAGTTTCCTATTACATGACTTAGTTCAACCTGTAGTTTTAAGTAAACTGAGCTGATTTTCACTTCCGAAACCAACTTACTTCTCTAAGCACTGGATTATAGTTCTTGGAAGTGGCAAGACTTCCTATTTTAGGATAAGCATGTGCCCAGACTTAGTATTTTAGGATAAAGTGCATACAAAAATGTGTCTTTAAGTATTTAAATGTGATTTTGTGTATTTTTTAAAAAAATGCAAATGAATGTAGAAAGGGATTTATGAATGAGCGCATGTGAAATTCACACAGGCTAGAACTGGGGTGATCCATCCCTGCCTAGTCCACAGAGAAGGAAATTCCCAGTTCAGTTCCATGCACTTCAACACGATGCTTAAAACATCATAACTCCTCTTCCAGTTTCCGCAGCTGTTTTGTGAAGTCCTGCTCATTCCTTGGCCTGCGCTGCAGAGCACAATACCCCAAGGTTAGGCTGTGAGGTGTGTCTTGACAGAAAGGCCTCGCTGGAGCTAGAGGGCATTGAATTCCCACACGGGACAACCAGCCAGTCGGAAACCCACAAGCAGCAGTACCTCCCCCCTGCCCGTGTCTTGTGGGTCCCATGCAAAAGTGGCTGAGAGGACACCTTTGGAGCTCCTTACCTGCCACAGGTGTGGCCTCTCTGTGGCTTGGCTTGCATCTGCTCAGTGGAGGAACAGGCATGTGCCAGAGAAACCGCCAGGAGGCTTCCCCTTCCCTTTGGACCTTGTCCAGGAACATTGGAAGCTTGCCCATGGCACTTGTAACCCTTGCGTCACGAGACTGTGACCCTGGACGGGACCTGAAGGTGTTTGCTAGCAGAACCAGTTCTGCCCTTCCTCTGCGATTGGAGCAAAAGTCTGGAAACCCACATGTATTTGGTGGGTGGAAAGGAGGGATGGCTCCCTTCTCCCAAAAGCTTGCACCTTGATCAAAATGATTGCATATCGTTCCCCTGAGTTGTAACACTGGGAAGCTGCCTGTATCTTTTGATGGTCTTTAAGTTAAACTGGATTCGCACTCTTGTTAAAAGGGACCCATCTTCTTTTTCTGTATAATATCCTTTTACTGACATGCCATCACCGCCAGTATCCGATTGCGACGATTCGTACGCACTGGTTAGGATTTTTGTAAGACACCCCACTGCAGGGCACACAACAAACCACCCTTGTTGCAAGCAGAACTGCTTGGGTGATGGAATTATTTGATCTTTTTACTGGGTCCGGGACCCTTTTTGTTTAAACCACTGAGAGTCTTGTGGCACCTTCAAGTTTAGCAAATTTATTGTGGCATAAACTTGTGGACTAATGTGCTTCATCAGATGTGGTATGTGCTGCCCCAAATTACACTTCACGCACGGCTGGCGAGATAGACAGTAAACAGTGAGGTCAGAGAGAAATGAAATGGAGAAACTGCCAGCAGTGGTAATTAAAAGTGGCCATTCGCATGAAAAGTGGCAGGTTGCAACACAGACATCCTGGCACTGGGAAACAAGATTGGCTATTGGGGAGTCTGTTCCCGTGAGTGACCTCTCTGGATAATGTAATTATTACTGTCGGAGTTTGCTGCATCTTACCTCTCTCTAGCCTCTGTTTACAGTCCAACTCCCAGCCAGATGTCCGTTTGGATAGATGCAGAGAACGGCTGCCTGTGTTTATATCCGTCTATCTGCCATTCGTGCTTCTGGCAGTGTGGATGGACGTTCATACCGTGTGCTTTTCTTAGCCTGTAAGCTTCCCCCAGAGCCCTTTTCCTTTCTTCTATTTTTTCTCCATTGGTGTTGCAGACTATGATGGAATCACCTGGAAACTGGCCCCATCTTTGCTTAAGACCACAATATCCAGTAACGTTCCCATCCCTAGAAAGGGGGAACCCTCCCTTTCTTAGTATGTGCGGTATAGGACTTGAGCACTAAATGAATGGGGAGGGCCAGAACCTGCCAGGTGCGTCACAGAATCCCACCTGTGCACACGCCCCGAGAAAGGGCACCTGTCCGTTCAGTGGAATTGGGGGTGCGTCCCAAGGGGAGGGCTGAGGGTTGTTTTACTAGACTGTAGTGCTCTGGGGGAATGAGGCTCAGAAGCCCACAGGTGAGCTTACCTTGGTCAGCACAGCAGCCAAGTGCCTCCTGGGCAGGAGAGGGAGACGGATAGCCGGATAGGTGGCCGTGCTTCATCTGCCTGCTCTTGGGTTCCTCCTCCTTTGGGATGGGGTTGCCTGTTCTCTGCCCCCCACACACAGCCCCACCCTGGTGTTGGTGCCGCTGCCCCCTTGCTCCGCCCCACCCCTCCCACGGCCTCTCCTGCTCCCGCACAAACCTCCGTGTTTCTTCCCTCCCAAGGCTGAGAGCGATGTGGCCTCCTTGAACAGGCGCATCCAGCTGGTAGAGGAGGAGTTGGATCGTGCCCAGGAGCGTCTGGCAACCGCCCTGCAGAAGCTGGAGGAGGCTGAGAAGGCTGCAGATGAGAGCGAAAGGTAGGGGCACCACCCAGCCTGCTTTCATGGTGATGGGGCCGGGTTATCTCTGCCGTTTCGATCTGGTTGCCTCGCGGCAGCCTTCCTCAACCACCAGATGTGTTGGGGTGCAATTCCCAGCACCCCCAGCCGGTTGCACGGCAACTTTGGACAGGGAGGTACCTAACGGGGAGAACACTGTATGCCCCCCATCATTTGCAGCAAGGGGCACCATCCAGCAAGAATTCCCAATTAACAGGAAACCAACAGGATGACTTTTGTTGTGACTTGGGGGGGGGGGGGCTTGTCTGCCACAGGGGCCTTTGTAGGGTGCTGAGGGGGTACCCCTTCAGATTCTGCCAGCAGAGTCACTTCCACCCCTGTGGGGTCTTGGGCCGCAGTCCCTGCAAGCACTACAGGGAGCTTTTGCCATGAAGCACAATCCTTCTTTTTCCCTGTCTTTAAAACCTTCCTAGCAAAAGTAGTAGTTGCATAAGCTTTCTAAGGGGTTCCCGGTGCCCTTCAGTGTCCTTGCCTCTCCCATATCTACCCAAGCTCATGTAAATTATGCAAAACAAGCCATTTGCATATGGCTTGCAGGAGTGGCACATTTTTGGGTCCAGAATTGTGGCTGGGCGTGGACAATAAGAGTGTGTGTCTGCGTGCATGAGAAAGAGAAAGCATACAGTGCTCATAGCCCTGTGCTCGGGGTGCGAGTTACCACTCTGATTCCAAACCTTGCTTTTGTTGTCTTCCAGAGGTATGAAAGTCATTGAGAGCAGAGCCCTGAAGGATGAAGAGAAGATGGAAATTCAGGAGATCCAACTTAAAGAGGCAAAACACATTGCTGAGGACGCCGACCGCAAGTATGAAGAGGTTGGTGTCTTAGCACAGCTGTGAGGCCCTTTGGCTCAAGCTTTGGCTTGGCTCTTCCCAGAGAGGACCAACATGTCAGTTCCTCCGCAGCCGTTGTGGTTATTTGGCCTGTTGAGACCCAGCGCTTGTGCTGTGAGCCAAGCCAGCCTTCTCCAGCCCAGGACCCTCTGTGCATGTTGGATGGCAACTCCTGTAAATCTTATTATGGAAGATAATATTCTACTGGGCTGAAATTCTCAGAGCAGAGATACCGTGCAGAAAGAAACACAGATCTTTGGGAAACCGAGGCAGGCACCTGGACTTTGAGGTGCCGGGGCAGGGGGAGCAGTGGCGTGCCACAGAAGAAAACGTGTGAGCCAGAGGTGGGGAGTTGGCGATGGCCAGAACAGGGCTCGGAAGACGAGGGAAACGCAGTCCAGCCTCCTTTAGCATCCCGGTTGCTTTTGACACACCTCTGGTTCCTTCTCGCTTTGGGTTCTTGGGCCACAGACGGAGCCGCGCTGATGGCTGCTTCTCTCTCCATTTTCCCAGGTGGCTCGTAAGCTGGTGATCATTGAGAGCGACCTGGAGCGTGCGGAGGAGCGTGCGGAACTTTCAGAAAGGTAGGAGCCCCCCCTCAGGCTTGCGACATTCCCTGCTGGACGCGGCGAGCATGAGGTCCCGGGCGGTCCATGAGTGAGCTGAGCCCCGTGACCGGCTTGTTTTCTGTGCCAAACGGCTGCCTGCTGTCTGTGCCCGGCAGCATGTGTCTCTCTGCAAGTGTGAGCTTCCGCGTGAGTGCAGTTGCGTGCTTGTTGTGGTACCCAGGTGGTTCTTTTGGGGGTCTCTTAGCTGGTGTGGGTCACGGCATGCTTTTTACCCGCTCACTGATTTTTGTGAATGGCTCTTGTGCGTTTTCATGTGTTCACTAACAGCCAAGTCCGACAGCTGGAGGAACAGCTACGGGTAATGGATCAAACGTTGAAAGCGTTAACGGCTGCTGAGGAGAAGGTACTGGAGATCCTCTTCATGCCCCTCTGTGAACTAAACAGTCAAGATTAGCTGCATTCCTTCGGCTACTCTAAACAGCTAGTTAGATGCCTGTTAGCAGTAGTGGCTGGATTTCCCTCAAGTTCCTCTCCTTTTCCTTCTGCATTTGCCTCGTGCGGGCTTTCTTGAGGCCCACATAGGAGTGTGCCTGTGTGTGCGTGTGTGTTTAACCTTTTTTGCAGCTGATTGAGCCCCAAAAAGAAGCTGAACGATCTGAGATAGTTTCAGGGTCTTCTATAAATAATTTGAAATGTATTTCCCAGTTTTAAAGGGGGAGACCATGTCTGTGCCAGATGCTGTGTGCAGATACCGTTCTCTGAAAGCAGTAGGGCAGGACATTGGTGAGAGCCACGGTACCTAAAAGGCCTTGCTGCACGTCCTCTGCAAAACGGGGATGCCCGTGGCGGTGGGCGGCATCGACATCTGCCCTGCGCGCTCCACCGGTGCAAACACGGCATGCCAAAGAGCCTGGTGGACACGCTTATGGCGCCGAAGTCGGTGGCAACCTGCCCAGCAAATTGAGTATTGTAACGAAGTCGTCCGTCTTCTATCTCAGATGGGTTCAGCGACTTTCGAGGCCCTTTCTTTAGCTCTGAGATTCAGTTTTCATTCTCTACCTTTTCTCCCCCTCTTTTTTCCCTTTGGCTTGATTGCTCTTCTTCCTGCTCCTTTCCTGCCTCCATCCCAAAATAATAGCAAATGTGCTGAACTTGAAGAGGAATTGAAAACTGTGACCAACAACCTGAGATCTCTGGAAGCTCAGGCGGAGAAGGTACGGTCTGGCCGGGAGGCCCAAATGCTACGCAGTGGGCAAAGCACCCACTCCTCAGAGGGTTTGCTCGGAAGTAAGTTCTGTTGTCTCCAATGAGGAACTTGCTTCCCTAGTAAGTAAGTTTATTTCCTGATTAGTTCTGATGCTTCTGAATCACCTTTCCGCCCACGGAGATCTCCTAGGCCAGTGAGCACCACCACACGAATATCAGAAAGTTAGTTTCCTCGTGTGGCATTGGCCCTTTAGTCCCACTAGGCACCTGTGTTTTGACAGGATAATGTCCGTCGAGATCTTGAGTGGGGGTCCTACCCCCTGGGCTCTGGCCCTGCAGTTAAGTTGCTCAATGAAAAGGCTTCCTGAATCAATAAACCCATAAAACTCTGCAAACAGTTGTTTAAGGACGCCAGCACAGCTTTTTGTGTCCTTTTTTAATGCTCTGTGTCCGAGCCCACGTAAGAAGTCTGAATCCGTGTCAGGCAGGTGCTGCTTTCCCCTGCAGAATTATGGCAACCTGCAGCAAGCGCGTTAAGAACAAACCGCGGCTTCAGGGCGATGTCTCCCATTCTAGTGCTGAAAAGGGTTTCGGGGGCTGTTGCCTTGGGCCACAAGACTCTGCCCAAGACGTTTTGGGAACAAGGGACGTTCCACAGCCCTGCAAAGTAGCTTTCTCAGACCAGGGCCAAGGGACAGCTTTTTTCTGACTCTTGCTGCTTATACCATTTTTGTCATGTAGAGTCAGGACCGGATGTGCGAACGGGCGCTCCGGTGCCTGCCCATTTCTTCAGGGTTGCCAATAACGTAGCACCCACAGGTGCCTCTCGGTTTCCCTGGGTGCCCCCTGGAATGAAAGACACCTTTCTGCCTGTCCTGTGAATACTTTCTCCCTCCTGTAACATCCTTAGCAACTCAAGATGTCTTCCAATCCCACTTGAACATTACTTCCCCCTCCCTTAACTCTCCAATTTAATGCACTCCGTTCTGTTCCTTATGACTTACTTACGTAAGTTTGCGGGTCTTGGCGCATGAAGACCGAGAGTGAGTGGCCAGGTGTAACATCAGACTGAGTCAGCCACAATTTGAGCAATCTCAGATGCACTGAAAGGGTTAGGGTTAGCCTGAGAAGGGGAAGCAGGGTGGGGGGTGCCAGGCAGAAAGTCTTTAGTCTCTGCTCTGCTAAGCGAGACTTAATTCTGTGCACAGACCTGCGGTCTCAGTCTTTGGACCAGAAGGCCTAAGGGTGTCTTGGCATGGCTTAAAATGGGTAAGGGATGTAAGAGCTTATGAGCCATTTGCCCTTAATGGAGACCCGGCGTGTGCCTACATCTCTGGCGTCGCCGCTGCCCTCAGTTCCTCCCCACAACTGCTCTCCATGCGTTTGAACGTGGGATGTGAATATGCCACAGGGCATGTGGTGCTGCACTTGCCACGGAAGCGTGGGCAACTGACGTTGGCCGTGGTCTGTTTGGTTTGCAGTACTCCCAGAAGGAGGACAAGTATGAAGAGGAGATCAAAGTCCTGACTGACAAGCTGAAGGAGGTAAAGCCAGGAATGCTGCTCCTGGGAGAAACGTGGGGCTGAGCTTCTGGGGCAGAAAGCCTGCTTCTCCTGCAGTCTCTGCTGTGCCGTGGGGAAGCTCCCGGGTCTCCCCGGTGGCTTTTCTGACCGGCATGTCTGTGTGTTCTGACTCCAGGCTGAGACCCGGGCTGAGTTTGCAGAGCGGTCCGTAACCAAGCTTGAGAAGAGCATTGATGACTTAGAAGGTACGGTTCTTTCTCCCGACCCCTGGCTAGCCGAGGAGGCTGAGGCCGCATCCTCCAGTCCCTTGGCGCACTCGGCTTGGGCAGCTGCTTAACTTGGGCCAGCAGTGGCCAGCAGTGAATCTTCACCACTAGCCCCTCGGTGCTCTTCCCCATTGTGCAATCGACTCTGATGGGAGGGGGCACGGGGGCCGCATCCTGCGAGAGCCGAGCCGGGGCTGGCAGGCTCCTGGTTGCGGCATCCCTGCAACTCCTGGGAGTGTTCTAGATCGCTCACTCCGTTCACACGAAGGCTTGTGCCATGAGTAGGACCGGTTGATCCCACGGAGCATTAAAAGGTTTCCAGTGGGCCTCAGTGGAGAAGCTTTGCTCTTTGCATCTTTTGCTTTTGGAAATTTCCTCCCCGTGGCTGTCAAAACTCTTCATGTGGAATCTTCCATTCCCAAAAAAGTAAACACGCTGGATAGGAAGCCCGGTCAGCACTTGCGTTCCCACCAGCCGTCATGGGATTTTGCCCCGGCGTGAGAAAACGAGGGCCATGGGACAAGGAGGCAGGGAGGGAGACAGTAACCAGGCTGTCCTAATCTGAGCCATGTTGGGGCTTTCATCAGAGTAGACAAGAGGTCGGCAACTGGACGCCCTCCAGATGTGTTGGCACTACAATGACCACAAGCCCCAACTCAGAGATAATGGGAGTTGTAGTTGAGCAAGTGGAAGGTTGCCATTTCCTCCCAACCCTAGTGCAAGGGGAGCTTCTGGGGGCTCAGGCGGGGTTGCCATTTTCATCCAAGCGGGGGGCGTCCGGGGGAAGCGTTGCTAGCACCAGTGCACCTGAGAGAGGGTTTCTTCCACATCCCCGATACTTGCTCGCCCATCGACTGGCTCGGCTCGCCGGTGAATTCTGCACCCGTGTGTCTCCCACACCATTTGCTCCGTGATCGGAATTCCCTGTGAATCTTTTGACTTCTCTGTGTTCTTATTTCCCTCTCTCCTCCTGCCACGCCACTGACTCTGCACGTCCTTTCCCCTCCTCACCGCTGTGATTTCCGGATGGGCTTCCCTTTCATCACCCCTGGTCACTCGGTCACTGCTGCCTCCTTGCACTCCTGCACCCCCCTTGGCACCCTTAGATGAGTTGTACTCTCAGAAACTCAAGTACAAAGCCATCAGCGAGGAGCTGGACCACGCTCTCAACGATATGACTTCAATGTAAATGGCCTGCTCCCATCTTTTGCCTGCATCCGTCCTCCCTTTGGGTAGCAGCTGCTCACTCTTTAGTGCAGGGGAGGGCTCTTGGCAGCCTGGTGCTGTGGTTTCTTACAGTGTATGCTTTAAAACGGCCATTGGGATGTATTAAGTTTCTAGTCCTCATCGTTTGGGAGATTTTTTTTCATTAAAAATGAGGGAACCACATATTGACAAGGGTTATACTCAGAAGGCAAGAAGTTTCATTTGAATGAAATTTCTCTTCTGATAATGTTTAGGTCTAATTTGGCTTTAGAAGGGACAGGGCACTGTTGATTGGCCGTGGATCAGCTTGTGCCATGTTAATACACACTGTTGCCACTGAGCTGAGGTGTCCCACAGCTTCCTGCTGAGCATCTTACTCACTTCTGCCAAAGGGGGATGGGGGGAGAGTGAACCTAGGGACTTTATTCCTGCAGCAAAGAGTGAGAATGCACCACGCTTGGGTTCTGATGGATTTTTGTAACATTTCTGCATGGCCCGCTTTTCCCTAAATGCATACCTCACATGCTTCCCTCCCCATTCCGCGCTTCCCATTGATCCCAGTTTGGCTCTGCGTTCCCGTCCTGTTCCAGCATTCCTGAGGTTCCGTTCCTAAGACTAGCAAGCTTTCACGCTTGCAGCCCTAACCGTGCTAACTGGGAGCTGAGCTAAGTCAGAATGAGGCCTGGCAGAAGGCAGGCGGGGTCTTTCAGCACCTCTGAGTTGCATGCCGGAGCCCTGCGAGATAGCCAGTCAGCTGCTTGGTGACTATGGACAGCGTTTAATTTATATCATCACTGTTATCGTCGTTACCCGAAGAGATAATCAGTAAAGCAGTTAAAACACATGGAAATGTAATTTGAAACCTCCTATGTGAATAAGCCAGGCTGAAAAATGGCACATTAGATGCATGTCTGAATAGATCCGTGTTCAGAACCTGCCTCAGTTTGGGAAAAGAGGCATTCTGGCATTCCGGGTCCGCCACCGAAAAGGCCCTCCCTGTCCTTTGCATATACCCGCTAACCCCTTAATAGTAATTGGTGGGGCAGGTGGGAAAGTCCAGCAGCAACTTTCAGATTTTTCAAATTCCTGGAAGTTACCAGATGGCTCTAAGTTACCACATTGAATGCATCATTTTGTTCCCACCCCTTCTGTTCTCAGCCAAAGTTACTCCTAGAAATGCTTATTGGTAAAGCACAAATAGAACCGTGAGGATTTGTACAGACAAGAAATAGGCAATTCATTAACACCAGGCATCGCTGATTCACCCAAGTGTGTTGGACCACTCCAAGCCAGTTTAGGATGATGGGAATGGTGGTCCATTCCATTTGTTGGGCACCTGGTTAGGGATGGCTCTTAAGCAAGGCCCGGAAGTTTGTTGTGGTTTGTGGTGATTGCAAACTGCTGGCAGCTCTCAGCTGTGCCGGGTGTGATCCTACTCTGATAAGCTCCACAGCAGCAGGGGTGTTAGTGCATTTAGAAAGCAGCCAAGGAAGATGGGAACACGCAGGGCTCTTTCCGAGCACACAGCTGAAGGTACAGAACTTCGTGGCTTTAGAGTCCACGCGTTAACTGATTGTCCGTTGCTTGCCAGCATCACCTTTGGTGAGCGCCTCTAACTTGTCATGCAGACGCAACAGTAATTTGCATTCTCTCCCTCTCCTCCGGTTTGACAAAAAATATTTCTGCATGTGCCAGCATGCAATATTTTTTGCTGGGCCCTTCGATTATATTTTCAATTTGCCTTGCTTTGTTTGAACTCATCTGTTGCATTTTCCTAACTTTCCTAAAAGTTTTCCGTCACACACTTAACCACCCTTAAGGATATTTTGGGGATATCTTTGCGGATTAAATGGCGTAGCTCAGTTTACAGTGGTAGGACCCGGTGGGAATAAAATGGCATTTTAAAAGGTAGACATTCTCTGGCACTTGGAAGCCCCCGTAAGGGGCTCAAACAATTACAGCCTTCCCCAGTGTGTGCCCTTTAGCTGTTTTGGTCTACCGCTCCCAGCATCCCTGCACAGTGTCCATCTGGTTGGGGCTGCTGGGAGGTAGTCGAAAGCCCCTGGTGGGCTCCAGGCTGGGGAAGGCCTGCAGTGGAACATTTCTTCCCAGTCTTCCTCCTGATGAAATTTGGAAGGGGAAGAGGTGAAATTTACATATATTTACCCTGAAATCCCAGCAGATGTGTCAATGAGTGTATTATTTCACCCAGAGCTTTTTGACTTGCATGCCGAGGGAAGCTGAAATGGGGCAATTTCTTTAAAGAAAAAAACAAAAAACCCTATTTTGTTTGGAAAGTGCTCTCTTAAGTATGCAGGCATTTTTTTTAAATCTGCAAAAAATGTGTGCAGAAGAAGTTGGGGCCGAGGGCCTCTTTCTCTCCCTGCCCAGCCAGCTGCCTCCAGATGAAGCTCTTTCCTGCTTCTCGGTTGTTTCTAAAGAGTGCACGACAAAACACCTGCAGAGGGGCTACAAGGGAAAAAGTGGTGAAGAATTCCCCCCCCCCCAAAAGGATGCCTGATTAATGTTTTCTGTGTGCTTTGGTGCCCCAGGGTGGCTGCCTCCAACTTGGGAGGCCTGCCCACGTGGAAACTTTCTCCTGGACACGGGAGAGGCGTCCTTCGGTGCTGGGTAGACCATACTCCAAAAATCCTTAGGGGTTATCTAAAAACTGGTTAAGAATGAGGTGCAGCTTGCGTTTGGATACTGAGAGGCAGAGCAGATGTGGAGGCAACTCAGCCTTTAGGATTTGGGGGGTTGTGGGATTTGGGGGGTTGTGGGTTGGGCGAGGAAATACTCTGGTATTTCCTCGCCCAAACTTGTCTGAATGCTGCAAGGACTTCTGCAATTGCGGGCTCAGAACTGGAATGGCACATGGAGGACCTTTGCCAGTGTGTACCATTTTGCCCAGTGGTGCAAGATTTTGCTTGTCCCGAGGGCAGCGCTTGGAGGGGTGTAGCCAGCACGGCAGATGGGCCCAGCCGCCTCAAGGGAGACAAAACCCTTCTCCAAGCCAGCTCCATTTTCTATTCTGTGGCACCTTCTCTCTTTCCCTTCCCCAGCCTCCTCCAGTCCATCTTGTGCTCTGTTTTTATTTCCTGTCTCTCTATTTTCACACAGATAAGTCTCTTTGCTTCGCTTCTCCAAAGACATCTCCATCTCGCTGGACAAACCATCTTTTCCCAGTTGCTGGCTGTTTCTCAGTTCCTTGTCCTGCTCTCCTACCTTCCTGTAACCTTTTCTTCCTAGCACTTGGCTGCAGGACATGGGGCACAAACCTTCTTTCCGCCTTCTGTGCCTTTTTGACTGTACAGAAACTTCAGTGTAAAATAAAAAGTTCCTGCTGCAGAAGCTGTATTTCTTTTGCTATTCCTTTTGCCTATTATTTATTTCCATCATTTCAAGTATGAATAAAATTAAAAACCTGCTTTTTGCCATTAGGTTTTATTCTATCATTATTTTGCCTGTCTTTTTTTCCTTTCCTTTGCATTCTTTTGCTCTGTTCCTCCATCCCATTTCACACATTTTCTGGCTGAAATGCGAGCAGTGCAAGAGCAGTATTAAAATAGTTGACTAAATGGGAAATGTCTCTAAAGTCTTCTCCTTTTCCATTAAGATCCCTCCTTTTGTTATTTGAACCTCCTCCTAGCATCCTGGTTAAATTTCTCAGGTTGGGGTTCAAGGAGAACTTTTGGAAGTGCTCACTCAACTAGAGAGGCTGTTTGTCTTGGGATAAACGTGAAGGCCGTGTGAACCAAGATTCCGTGTGTTTGGCTGTCTGCAGTTCTGTGAGGAATGGAGCATTCTGAGAATCTTAATGTATAAACCAAGATTCTAGTCCTTATGGTTGGGAGCGGTAGCAAAGGCAGCAGCAAGGACATGGGCAGGGTGTGGCAGGGATGCCACAATGCGGAGGGAAGGTGGGAGAGCTGTGTTGGGCAGAGCGCTGTGGGGAAGAGGTTCTCTCCAGAGAAGAATTTGGAAGGAGAGCTTCCCCCACAGCACTCTCTTGGCTTCAGAGCTGGGTCTGGGCAAAGCCTTCATTAGGGCAGTTTTGATTAGAGGAAGTATTCACATGCCTCCAGCCAATTTCATGTTCTTTTGGGCTTGCTCCCGTTCGTTTTGCCTTGCAAAACAGTCAAGTTTTGCCTTGCATGGCTTCCGCCTGGAGATCTTTGAATGCCGGAGTCATTAGTTAAACAAGCACTGAATTGAGCCGGGCAGAAGTTGCAGAGGGAGGCCTTCATGTTTTCTCAGTCCTCTGCCCCGAACAATGCGATGTCGGACTGGAGTGCTAGCAGAGTGTGTGTTGCCATCGCCGGTCACTGCAGTTCAATCTCGCTGTATTTACAGAATTACCTAAAACGATTCTGCTTCCCTCCCACCTGGGTGCAAAAGGCTGCCCACATGCCTTGTGCACAGTCGAGGGCCAACAAGGAAGACCTGCCCACAGGCTTCCAGCCAAGAAGACGGGATGGGACAGGGAGAGGCAGGAAGAGGCCAAGCCAGTGCAGGCGCTGCTCTGGATGAGTGCCCGGGCCGTTCCGTAGCCGTTCCCAGGAAGACCTGCTGGAGCGGCAGCGTCACCTGTGGACATGTGCCGCCTCCCAGGGAGGCTATTCCATGGCTGCTCCGTATTCCAGCACTGCTGTAGTTGCTCCCCATTGAATTCTGCTGCTGATGGGTGCAGCCCAGTTCGGCGGTGAAACACACACAGAGAGCGCTGAAAGCAAAGCAAACCCAGGAGACAGAAGCCTGATTATAATTGTTGAAGAGTAATTCTTGAAATTTCATGATGTCAGAACAATAACACAAGATAACAGCAGGAACTTCAGTGCTGGCACAGTAATATGTACAGGGCAAGCGCCATTTCCACTGAAAGGTCGTCATTGATCCAAGTATTATGAAGAGCAAAATGAGGCATGATTACCTGATTTTTATATGAAAGGAAATGTGTTGATCATATGTGTGTACTCAGAAGTAAGCCTGGTTTAGTTACTTGCAGTTTAGTTATCCCTAGGAAAGGGTATGTAGGATTGCAGTCTGTTTCCTTGAGAGTAAGCCCATTGACTGCAGTGTGAGTACTGAGAAGCTGTGTGGAGATCCATGCTGTAAGTCCCTGTACCCATCAAGGTGCTTAACAGCTGTAATTGGTAAATGTGGTGAATGCTGATAAAAAGTCTCTGGAAAATGCTTTCTCGGATCAGGATTGGTGTCTCCAGTTGGCCACTGCTTTCTGGGAGCCACCAAAAGGAGTGGTGTTCTTTGACATCCAAGAGGACAGAAATTCCTCTTTGCAGTGCCCCCTTCAGCTACCACAAACAGAGGCTCTTAACAGAGGGAGGGATCTTCTCTGTTTCCACACCATTTGCAAATTAGCTGCAGAGTTGATGGCCACCCGGGAGGTGGATGGCACATTTTAGGACTCTTCCGCAAGGAGGAATTCTCCTTGCCCAGGGCCCCGCATGCAGGACTTTGGGCTGCTGCTCTCGGCCCGCTCTCAGCACCCCCTGTGCCCTTCAGGAATCCCGTCCACACGGCAGTTGTGGCTGAAGCCCAGAGGTGAGGTCTGAGTTTGGCAAAGCCAGGAGCCTCCCCTCGTGCCAACTGGCCGAGCCCGGAAAACCGCTGGCTGGGTGACCGCGGCACACCTGTCCTTAAAGCGACGTTGAATCGCATCCCTGCACATGGGCCTGGTAAGGCGGTGTGGAGAGGGTGCCCCTGAGGGCAACGTGACTGCCGCTTGCATGGCAGCCCTCCAGGGACCTCTTTGCCGTGTCTCATGGCACACTGCCACCGTCGGCGCCCGCCATCCTCCTGGCAGAAGTGAGCCAGAGTCTCGCAGTGCTGGCGGGCTCGCCCCTCATCTAAGGGGGCTTTTGGTGCTTAGCACGTTGCCCGCCCTTGTGCTGGTGGTCTCCTCCAAGGCCCCGTCCCACAATGAGACCTGCTGCCCGAGGCTCGTGCGCTGAACCTCTGTGCCACAGCTGCGTCCCGAGGAGTCCCTGATCTGGGTGGCATGATGGTTTTCTCGTTGACTGTTTGCCTGTCTCTCTAACCTTTGCTTCCTTCTGCCTCTCTCTTCTCTCTTCTCTGCTAACCTGCTTGCTGACTTGCAGACCAACTCTACCAGCAGCTTGAGCAAAACCGCCGTCTAACTAATGAACTAAAGTTGGCCCTGAACGAGGATTAAGCTTTAGTATGAATCAACTCTTTTTAACGAATTTGTTTATGACTCCTCTGGTACGGACATAATGCAGATAGCCACGTAGTAAGAAACACTGTTTGCTGTCGGTTGTGGGGGAACCAGCTTGTTGCAGGAAAATTTTGACGTTCTCTAATCAGTTGTGCTATATTTAGGCATTTCCTTTCCTGCTTCAAGACCAGCTATGCTCTGAGTAATCACACTAAACAAAACACACAATGGCCCTGGCTTCTTGGAGCAGAGCGTTTTTGGCTAGCCAGTGGGGAAGGGAGATTTTGGAACCAGAACCTTTGTTTAAAAGAGATCCAATCAAACGTGCTCTGCATTTGGTTCATTGCTGAACCCCAAGCAGGTGCTATCGAATCCCGGTAAAAGCAGCTTTGTGGATGGGTTAGCTCAACTGTCCAACTGAGGGCCCTTTTCTTGATCGCCCTGGAGAACTCAGATGGGAGGGTGGCGACATTGCTTTTGACGTCGTGATTGTGTGTCGCTCTGGAGCATTGCGCTCACATACAGCATCAGTGAAGTGTTTGTAATGACTGTCTGGCAAAAAGTGCCATGTAACGTAAAACTAACAACTGTTGTGCTTTCTTAGTGTCACGTTTCTGCTTAGCTATAAAAACGAGTCCACTGGGATGCCCCCAGACAGTCAAATAGTTGGTTCTTGTGCTTCCTGCTTCTTTCATTTTCTGTAGATTGTTAAATATCAGTGGTGTATCAGCTTGAAGTTCTGCCATCAGCAGTTTTATGAGCATGGTTCAATTCCCATCTCCTGGATTTTCTCTGGAACTGACTGGCTGACACACATCCTTGCTTCTCAAAATTATTTTTTTTAAAAAGGACCATTTATTTTGGTCTAGTACAGTGGCACCAACAGGCTTCTGTTTGGCTTCAAGAGGCCACAATTTTAAAGATTTGAGGGGGGAAATACATCTCCCTCTGCTTCCACTGGTCCTCCCATCATCTAGTTGATTAAATGTGGACCAGAGGGTCTTGTGACAAAAAATCAGTTCTTGTATTTGGCCACTAGCTGGCACAGGGGTATGGCAGGTGCCTTGCCACCGTTTTTGTCTTAGAGGTTCAGCTCTGGAAAATCCTGGTATTTCCTTCCTACATGCCCTGCATTCCCATATACAATGCTTCTTGCAACATACGGTTACAATAAATGGGTGCATCCAATGACAGCTTTTCATTTTTTTAATCCAAAACAGAGAAAGTGGCACATGCCAAAGAAGAAAACCTCAATATGCATCAGATGCTGGATCAAACTTTACTGGAGTTAAACAACATGTGAAAACCCTTTTAGCAGCAACCACGCCGCTCTCAGTCTTGTTTCGATTTCTTAAAAACACCTGCTTGCCATGAACCCCCCTGAAATGTGTCTTCGTTTTATTTTATCATTTTCTTCCCATCTTGCCATAATCATAGTACCATCTGCTAAAACCCAGGGACAGAGTTAGACAAAACGCGATATTGGGAAGCAAACGATCGGTGGACAGCAGTGCCCCCTCCCTGACCAAATGCTGCTTATGCTTTGTGTGGAGTTGAGCCATGAACCTGCAGCTCCTTTGAGGGTTGGAGAACTGCTACAGATATGCAGTCAGTTTAGATTTTAAGCAAAGATTAATGTTAGAAACCCAGGAAAGGAATTGGGTCGGTGGTGGGGGGGGGGTGCTGATTGGCATCCCTTGTAACAAAAGGTACTTGTGTGGTCTCTGGACTGGTATTTGTATAATGCCACGGTTTGTCCAACTTAGTAATTTGATTTTCTTGGAGGTCCCTCAGGCAGCAAAGGTTTGGCTTTGCTGTAGCTCAAGAACAAAACAGGCCTGCAGCCTCCCTTCTAAATTATTTCACACCAAAGTCCAGAGATGTTTGGCTCACGACAAACTCGTAGGCAGCATTTTGGTCCGCAGTGTCATTTTGTGGCAGCGTTCTGGAGATCCGCTGCACCAGGGAACAAACCAAACTCTTTACATGGATGAATTCCAGTTGCATTCTGGTTTTGCCTAAAGCTGAAGGAATCAAATTAAATGGATATTTGCCACATGTTTGTTTGACACACTTTTTTTAGCAGTTTTTGAGAATCATATATGTAAACATTGTATACTTGATAATGGAATAAAACACACTCTAGGACATTTTTTTTAAAAAAACTTGCTGCATTGTGATTTTTTCCTTCCCCCACTTTAAGGGTTCTTTGTGGAGAATGAGAGAGAGAGAATGTGTGTGTGTGAAAACAGAGAAGAAAGAATTTACCTCTGGCCTGGAGGGATAAAGGGTGTACCTGGTCCAGTGCCATTTTTGTGCAGTTCCTTGCTTTCCGTTGGGCCCTTGTATGGTGTTCCATCAAGCATGGCCTGAGATCCAGTGGAGCCACTTCGCTGAGTTTATTGGTCTCATGGGGCCTTGTTGCTCTTTGCTCACACAGAGACTTTCTGCAGAGCCAGACACCTGCTTGCATGCATGCTTCTAGTCCTCAGTGGCAAACTAGGAGGGCTTGAGGTGCCAGGTAGGGAGAGTTGGGGGCTTCCCATGGGAAGCTGGACAGTGGCAAGCACCGGGTTTGCACCCAGAACCTCCCCAGTTTGACTCAGGCCGCATCTCTGCGTAGGGCTGTAGAAATGCCTGCCAGGACCCCCAAAAAGCCTTTGCTGCCAGCCCGGGGTGACAGTGCTGGTCTAGATGGGTGGATGGTGGGTCTGACACACAAGCATATCCTGAGCTGCTCTGCCCCTGGCTACTTAGAAATGTTGCAGACGGAATTCCAGTATTAAAATGCAAACGCAGGAAGGGTAATCATGCAAATGATCTTGTTGCTGTAAGTAATCTCCCAGAGTCAAGCTCCACTAAGTGAGGCCAGGCCGTGTCTGTACTGGATGTGAATTTGGCATATGATAAATGACTTGGTTTTATTGAGAAACGAGTAATGAGAAGTAAAACAACACAGGCCAAAATGGGTCCCACCTGGTCTGACTCTTGATTGCACATCTGAAAGTGGTTTCATCTGGCTTTGCGCCCGGCGCAATAGTTCAAAACTTCATCACACACGATGAAAGAGGCAAGAACTGTTGTATTTCCTGGACCCCTCTGTGCTACTTCGTTACATAGAGTGTTCATATCTAAAGGGTTGGCTCTCCATTTTCCATCCCTTCCCACATTGTGGCTCTCTCTGCTTCTCAGAGGGGGAAAAAAGCTAACGGGCACCATCCACCAGCATATGTGTACTTCACTTCAGTGGAACGCGTGCCAAAGTTCTTGAAAGATGGAAAGGCCAACAGAGCCACTGACTTTCCTCTTCCCTCCTCATTCGTTTTCCTTGTGTGTCACATCAGAGAATATCTTGCTTTGACGAAATTTGTAAGCACGGCATGAAATCCTTTAAATATTTAAATAAGAGCTGAATGCTTTAAATATTTAAATAAGAGAGCCATAAATTGAGCCCAAGGCAGAGATGGTTCCAAGCAATCGGGACAGGCTGAAGTAGGAGTAAAAATGTTGCTCGGTCTAGAACAAGCAACTGAACAAGGGGCGCGATCCTATGCATCGTTAGGCGGAGACCTGCAGGCCAGGCCCGCCACGGGGGCCCTTTGCGGATGGGCCCGCGCCCCTGACAGGAGCCATGTCGAGGGGGCGCCCACAGGACCCTCCCGCGGGGCCTACCCGCCCGTCAGCCTCGAACGCTGGGAACCGGCAGGTCCAGCCAGCGCCGCCCGCTCGCCGCCCGGCAGGGACCGCGTGGGCGGAGCTTCTCGCGCAGACTCGCCCCGATTAGCATACGCAAAGGACGCCGCTCCGCCTCCCGCCCGCGGCCGCCCGAGCCCTGCTCTGCGCATGCTCCGCTCGAGGCGCTCGGCGCCTGGCGCGTCTCCTAGCGGCGCTCGAGGCCGAGCCGCGATGCTGCGCGTCCTGGCGGCGCTGCGGCGCTGCTCGTGCCTGAGGCGGCCCTGGAGCGGCGGCGGCGGGCCTGGGCTCGGAGTCCCGCGGGGGACGGTCCTTCGGCGGCGCGGCTGGCAGCTGGGCCTGGGGCTCGGCGCGGCGCTGGCGGCCGTGGCGGCGGCCGCCGCCGCGGCGGAAGAGGAGCAGGAGGCCGGCGGCGGGGGGCGAAGGGAGGCGCCGCCGCTGCCGCCGCCGCGAGGAGAGGACTTCGGCCGGGCCGTGGCCCGCAGCAGGGATCTTCTCCAGCGGGTGAAGGTGAGTGGAGCCCGAAGCAAGGGGCCTGGAGGACGGCGGGAGGCTCTTGAACTCTGCACATGCTCAGGAGAACCGCGAGAACTCAAATAGTGTTTTATTGCCCTAGGATGAAGTGGGGGCCCCTGGAATGGTAATCGGCGTTTCAGTAGATGGAAAAGAAGTCTGGTCAGAAGGTGAGCATTGCTCCTTCGCTGCGCTCCTCGGCCAGCCCGCGCGTTGCCCCGCCGTCCAGCCGGGCCCCTTCCCTTTCCGGGCAGCCTCCCGTGCCGGTCGCCTGCCCTGTGCTTCTGCCATGCCTCCTTTCCCTCGGCCGCTCGCGCACTCGCTCAGGCCTTTCCTCTGCCTGCCCCACCGGCCCTTCCCTCCAGGGCTTCCCGGTCCTTTTTCAGAGCTTGGGCACCGCCGTTCTTCCAGCCCCCTGGCTTATGGGGTCACCAGCTTCCTGGGTCTTCTTTCCCCGCAGGACACCCCCACTTAGGCACTTATTCATGGTATCACGGCAATGAGCCAACCCGTGCCATACCTTGACACTATTTCTGATTTGTTTGATTTGCGTCCCACCCTTTTTCGTAGGAAGAACTCAGAGTAGCTTATTTCATTCTCCCCCTGCTCTCTGTCTTATCCCCACAACAACCCTGCGAGGTGGGCTGGGCTGAGATTTTGTGACTGGCCCAAAGCCACCCAGTAGTCTCCGTGGATGAAGGGGGACTAGAACCCTGGTCACCAGAGTCCCAGTCCTGTGCTGTTAACCACTACACCACACTGCCTCTCGCTTTTGTAGTATCTTATGCAATGAAAATTCTTTCAGTAGAGCTACTTCTGGGATGAAAGCATAGCTTCTTGGATGCGGGGTATGCCACCACTTACAGCTTTTTTCAGCCAGATCATGTAGAATATGTCCAAGTTGCAAGTTGCTCCTCCGCTATGGAATGAGTGACTGTAATTTTATGCTATTGCTCTTGGCCTGTGTAGTTCCCAAGAAGGTTTATGTCCATTCCTCACAATTGCTTCTGAAAGCTAAGCATTTCTTTGTGTTCATGAGTGGATTATAATTGTCTTGGTCTGTGAGGCACATTAATTTTAATTATGAAATGAGTTTAGGAATCTGTAAAACCTACAAACCATTTGAAAAGGGGGGAAAACCCTTTCTGCAGAAGAAGGCCTGCTTATAATATAAGCAGTACTGATAAAGTACTACTAGCACATTTATGAGAGGGGCTTAAATGTGGTCAAGGAAGTCCAAAAGCAGTGCGATTGCAAGACTTCATAGCACTTGCATAGACAGACAAACATGTACTAGAAACGCACTGTGAAGGGCAGGATATAAAAGCTTTAAATAAATAAAACTCGCTTAGGTGTTCCCTGTTTGCTGACTCAAAATATACCCTCTTTGAGGTTTGTGCTTACCTGCTTCCCACAGGGAAGAGGCATCTCTTAATCCAGCTGAGACTGGTCTAACTTGTACCAGGAATAAGAATAGGAGTGGGCAGAGGGCAGGTCAGGATCAGCCTGTAGTTCTGGCTGATTTGCTGTAGATTGGCAAGGATATTTGACTCCCGTTTTTTTAACAATAGTAGCAACCAAATGACAGCCCTCACATCTTACATTAAACTGCTGAAATAAATCTTGTTACCATGGAGTTCATGGTCATGGTTGTTAGTAGCAATTTGTACTGCTTCTCACTGGAAACAAAATCCAAAGCAGTTTACAAACAGTAAAGACAAACATCAAAACCAACACAACCAAACATACCCATATGTCCTTCTTGTGCAAGTTTCATTGTGTTCTGATAGTACAAACAAATTCCTGGGCTCAGAATTGGTTAACCCTAAGTGCATGTCTTTTATAGCTGGGAAACAGTGTGAAGAGCTTTTGTCAACTTAGCAAACTCTTTTGATTTTCATGGCTTTGAAGTGCGTCAGTGCATGGAACACCACTTAACAGTAATTTCTTATTCCTTTTAAGGTATGGGTTATGCTGATGTAGAAAATCGTGTGCCCTGCAAGCCAGAGACTGTTGCACGGATTGCTAGCATTAGCAAATCGCTGACTATGGTTGCTGTTGCCAAGCTGTGGGAAGAAGGAAGGCTGGATTTAGATGCTCCTGTGCAGAAATATGTTCCAGAATTTCCTGAAAAGGAATATGAAGGTGAAAAGGTAAATGAGACTTGCTGTTCACAGCTGCTGCTGGTGGCTGGGTGGTGGTGCTTAGATATCCAGCCACATATATCTGTAACAGATGCTGGACAATGATTAACACACAATAACTATTTTTAAGGAATAAAGAAGAAAATGTTTATCTCTACAGGAGGGAAATACGCTCTCTTTCCCCGGGGGCAGGAAAATCCCTCCCCTGACCTGGAGACCTCTACTGTAAGTTTTGGTGGAGCTAGTTGTCAGCTGATCGGTAGATGGTCTTCTCCAAGTCTTCCCCGGCAAAGTATTGTGAATGTATTGTAGCTGTAAATGTACAATGATACACATGTTACTGCATCGTAGTGAATCTGAGGCAGTGTCTTTTAAAAATCTAGGTCACCATCACAACAAGACTGCTTGCTTCACATTTAAGTGGAATTCGCCACTATGAGAAAGATGCTTCCAAAGTAAAGGAAGAGAAAGAAAAGGCCAACAGGGCACTAAAGGCTGCACAAGATGGGACAAAAGCTGCCTCAAAAGCGAGAGAAGACCAAGGCTCGGAAAAGACCGACTGGGCTAAGGTCAAGCCAGAACACGAGGGCAAGGGTGCCAAAAAGGGAAGGAGGAAAAGGGAGTTTGAACATGAAGAGTATTATTTGAAAGAAAAATATGAGAGTGTGATTGATTCACTGAATATATTTAAAGATGATCCTTTGTTCTTTAAACCAGGTGAGGTCCTTTGAACCCTTTCTCACAAACGTCTTCCTATAGATTGGTTGTGGGCATGCCAGTGCATAACTTGTTTCTTTTAGTGGCCTGTTGCCACGGGCATGGGATTTAATCCGCCTTGCCTCCTTCATCTGCACTGTGATGCACTGTGAGCTTTTCTCCATATTCTTCTTTTCCTGAGTTTGTTCGTTCTGCCTGTTTTGCATATGACACATGCAGTAGTAATACTATTACTATTATTTCTATATTACCCAATAGCTGAAGCTTTCTGGGAGGTTCTCAACAGCAGATAAGAAACAATAATATACAGTACAGAATAATTAAAACATAAAAATGCAATACAGAATTTAAAAGCCACATTTAAACTTTTACACAGATGAAGTCATAAGAGCTGCTAAGCAGTTGACATACTATCCAAATACAATATAAATCTAAATGGCCTGTCATAAGTGGCACTCTTAACCTGGAGCCAAAAAGAGAGCAAAGGTGGCACCAGGTGGACCTCAGTGGGGTGTGTGTTTCATAAGCTCGTACGTATTTTGCCTCTTGCCTCATCGCAACAGCCTTAGCAAGTAGACCAAAAGGTAAAAAGACCAAGATACTCTCCTTTGTACTGAATGTGTGAAATCGGTGCCTCTTGTTCCATGTCTTCAAGGGAGTCAGTTTTTGTACTCAACTCACGGGTTTACTCTTCTGAGTGCTGTTGTGGAAAGAGCTTCAGGTCAGAAATTCACGGACTACATGCGCAAAATATTTTGTGATCTGGATATGTTGGCAACAGGACCGGATGATAACGAGCCACTGATTTACAACAGAGCAAGGTAAATGGCCATGCAGGCATGTCCAGGGTGCCTCCCGCAGTCGTTGGCCCTTTGCTTGGGCTGGAGATACAGGATGAGTCTTCTGGGGGTCCTCGGCCTCCTGTGTTCCCTGACACTGCAGCAGTCATATGACAGTACGCTCGCCCGGCACTTCATCAGGCGAACTTCCTCTTCAGCACAACTCACCTGGCTGTTCTTGGACCCGCCAGAGTTAAAGTACTTAGAATCACGTTGCATGTCTGAGAAGGGCTCTGACAGACCTTCTGGATCTGCCATGCGAATGCTGAATCATGGCATTCCTTCCAGTCACTACCTGACTTGGCTCCAATGTTCCCTGGCAATCTCACTGCACACCTTTTAATTAAAAAGGATTAGCCATGGGAGGCAGCGGAGACTCCAAAACTGCTGTATGTTCAGTGTTGTGTTTCCTCACAGGAACAGAAGCCAACTAGGACCGTGCACTAAGGGACTCAAGGACCCAAGCTAGGTTTAGGAGGCCAGGCATCCCTCTGTGTTTTAGACAGCAACTCCAAAGGGCTGGGAATACTTGTAAAGTGCCATGAGAGGCCCTACATTTATAGCAACATCTTCAAGCTTTCTTTGCCATTAAGAGGTGGCTCTGAAAGCCAAATGAAATTGTACATGTTTGTCCAGATCCAGGTAAGTGGGAAGTCTTCGTATAGAAGTTACTTCTTGATCCAGCCACTGATAAAACAGGAACCTGCAATTATGAATCAAATTTGCATTGGGATCCAAATGCGGCCTATCCACACTGTATTCTCTTAATTGGGAAGCACAGGTCCCTTTGTGATCGAGTGCAAATAGCCATACATAAATGGCCTCTTTACACTAATGCCCCAATCCAGCTCTAACTGTGTGTAATTTCGAGGAGCACGCAAACAGTCTGGGTTCCTGCACTTGCTCTTTCTATTATGAGAAGGGAAACAATGGTTGGTAACTACAAAGAATAGGGTCGTTCTTCTGAACACCTTTGTCTTGTCAGAGAGAGCTACTTGCAAAGTGCTGACAGGTACTTAATAAGTCAGGATGAAAGAGAGCAGGGTAGAATTTAGTTTAAGGTTTCTGTGTGGCTGGGAACAATATTCTAAAACCAGAGAATTCTGCCACCTTCCAGCTCTTTGCATTGTCTAAAATCCGGTGCAGTGAAAAGCTCATGCGTGTTCGGTTCCAATGCATTTTGAGTATCCAATAGAGTAAAGGGGGAAAGAACGCATGTTGTGGTACGGATGTGAGACAGAGGGCAAGCCTGCTTCTTGGACTCTGCAGCTTTTGACACCTTTGATCAAGCTTTCAGCGAAGCCCTCCTGTTTTATAATTCTTCTCCATTTAGAATGCATACTTGGGGTCCACAGCTAAGTCTTTCCCTGCTTTATCACAACTGCTTGCTGGCAGAAAAAGTTGGATTGGTGACTGTCACCTTGTGCTTTCTTCCCTTGTGCAGTTTCTGAAGCAAGCCAGCCTGTAACCTGTAGTGCATCTGGATGCCAAGTGCTTCCTGTAGCTGACCAGCTGTCTTGCTTTCGTTTCCAGGTACTACATCCATAACAAAAAAGGCCATTTGGTCAATGCTCCCTACGTAGACAACTCTTACAAGTGGGCTGGTGGAGGCTTCCAGTCCACTGTGGGCGACCTTCTGAAGTTTGGGAATGCCATGCTGTATAGCTATCAACTGGGGCAGTTGGGGAAACTTGGCACGGGAGTCCTTCCTGGTTATCTCAAGCCCAGCACGATAGCAGTGCTCTGGACAGCAGGCCCGAGCATAGAGACAACCCGGTATGAAGATCCTAAATACGGGATGGCGTGGTTTGTGATGGAGGGGAAGCAGGACTGTGGCTTCTGCAGGCGGCAGCGGTACTACACCTTCCACAGTGGAGGGGCAGTGGGGGCTAGCAGCACCCTCCTCATCTTGCCCAAAGAACCGGCCTCGGAGGGAGCGAACGGCGTCTTCCAGGTGCCACCGCGGGGTGTGGTGGTCGCAGTTCTTTGCAACACGCAGTCAGTCTTCCTCGACGGCACAGCCCTGAAGATTGCCATGGAATTTGAAAAGGACAATCTAGCTCAGTGCACTGAACAAAACAGCTTGCCCAACTAAGCAAGGTTCTGAAAGACACGCAGAAAGCCAGCTGGTGTTAATCAAGCTGAAGGTCTCTTTGCCAAGCAGGGCTCACATCCCAACTGCGCTGCATTAAAACCGGTCACTCAGGGAAGCCGCTGGGTGGGACCAACAGCCCTTCGTCAAAGGAGAATCATGCCTTGCAGTTACTCCAAGCCAAATTGCCCAAAGCACCAGCAGCACTTGCTTTTGATACCTGAAGCCAAATCTGGATCAAATAACTTCACCTCTTTTTTTCTTGCAAGTTGATTAATATGGAAAATGAATGTCTGCTTTGGAAACTCGGGGTAACCACACACCGGAGGCCAGATGTGCATGTGCTCCTTGGCAGAGGCTCTCCTCTTTGAGAATTGTAGTTGCAAGGTGAATGGCATAATTCGGTGGGTGTCCCTGCACTCGCAGCATTTCCACAGCAGTGCTGAAGCGAGGAACAGCAGCTCTTTCATGCCGGATTTTGGAACAAGCCCACATTTCAGGGTACCAGCTCTTGGCTAGGAATAGAGGGAGTCAGCAGGGAGTGACCTGCCCAGGGTAACTAACTTATTATCCCCATTTTTGGAGCAGCCAGACAGCTCAGGAAGACATGGGTGGGTTGATTCCCCCCCCCCCCCGTCCCATCTCTTAGGCTATTAACAGGACTCATTCCTTCATGTTAGTAATGTTGACTGCCATTGAAGAAAGCGGCTAAAATTAATCCTGCAGTTATGGTGGGATTGGTCTTCCACATAAAATCAGAGCAAACTCCTTAGCGTATAAATACATTTACATTTGAGCCCTGACATGTTGCCCATCCATGTGCAAAGGGACTTAATCCCAAGCAGATGGATACAATGTTTTGCTTTATTAAACAACTTGCTGGCCAAATACAATTTCCCTGTATTTAAAGGTAGTTTTGCGTTTCCGGGGGTTTCACACTTTTGTCTGCTGATTACGGCACCAAAGCTGCTGCTGGCCTCAGAATTTGGCAGGCTTGTTCTCAAAGGATATGTCATCTTAATAGCCTTTCCTAGGCATGACTCATTGCCAATATTGTGTGGTCTTTAGGAGAGGACTTCGTTGGTTCATCATTCATCCAAATGCCATCCTGTTCATTTTCTAACCCTTTACTGCAAGTATGCTTTTCAAAAGGGGAAGTCTTAAAGCCTTGAGAGATATTTACAAAGTTTATCAAAAGCTGCAACTTTGTGTATGTTTGCTTAGGAGTAACCTCTGTTAAATAAATAGGACTTGCTTCTGAGCAAACATCGATTCAGGCTAGAAGACTCTTACATGGTAGTTTTACTCAATTATATTCAAGCACTCTCTTTTACTGTTGTTAGCATCCCATCATTTCTTCAAGGGAGACTTAATTGCACTGGTGTCTGTATTTCACTTTCTTAGGCATGTAGGTTGTGAAAGCATGAACGGTGGGTTTGCCTTAATGGCTGGATTGGGTTTTGCAGCCTAGTTTTGTTTGCTAGCTTGCGTCAGACCCTCTAGCATGCCTGTTTTACTAGCCTCTCTCATATTCCTGGACTTGTTTAAAAATCCCCCTTCTCCCGTTTCTAGTCATGTTATGGTCTGCTTTAAGTGCAGATTTGAGTGCTTGATGGACGATAGCCCAGGCTTGGCCAGAACTTGCCCTCTGTCATGCACTGCACATACGAAGGATTTGTATGTGACTGAGGAGTTTGGCCTCTGGCATGGGCCTGATCCCAGTGCATGAGGGTGGGGCGCTGTATGTGTCCATGCACAGGAGCCTACGCTTAGTTCTCAGGGCTGGTCCAGCGGTGTAACGTTGTGGGTGGGATCAGCAGCATGACTTGCCACCTGGTGACAGCACAGGCCTTCTGGTATTAACACATTTGGAGGGTATTTGTACCAACCAGCCTTTGATATTCTCTTCGCACAGACATGCAGTGTTTAAACGGCATCTTTTTATGAGCAAGTCTGTTAAGAGGTTCCTTTATAAAATACCTCAAACCACTTATTCATGTTTAGCATCACTGTTGGGTAAACTGATTTCAAACTTTTTAATGGGGAAGGTTCTAAAGTGGATACCAGTATTTTCTTCCTCTCTATCTTGAGGTGCCTGGTCAGAAACCTTCAGTTACATTTATCTTTGTAATTAGGATCAGTCTATTAATATTATTTTTCCAAGGGTGGTAGGCGATTCTTGTCTTTGCCTGTTTGAATTTTAAGAGTTTGATCAAGTAAAAGGATGCCTACCATTCTTTGTAGGACTCACCTTTCTTTTGGAGATGCACTTTTTGGACCTAGCATATGCAAAGTTAAGAGTTCCTTGCTCTATTTTTTTTTACTGTCCTACAGGTGTCTTAGAATTAACTGGTTCTTTTGGCTTCTAATCATGTAAACTGCCTACTTACATATTTTAATTATGGTAATTGGTTTTTTGATCTGCCTTATTTAATAAACATTTCCTATTGCTGACAGAATGCTAATGTTTGTTTGGATTCCTCCTTTTTTAGCAGGAGATGTAGATTATGGGATCTGGGAGACCAATTCCTTCTTTGTAGCCTCAAGTTGCACAGAGCAAAGTTTCTAAAGGCTGCATGGACTACTAGATGACGTGGCTGCTGTAAACAGGTAAGACCTCCCCCCTCCACCTTCATGTACCTAAGTTTATACAAGCTTGTTAAAAAATGGGTTTGTAATGGTAATTGCATATTTAACTAAAATTATAAGCTTTCCTACTTAAACTGCTGTTAACATTTTTCAAGTGCAGTGAAACAGCTCACATGTTATTGCTTATCAAGCAGTTTATTGATTCAGAAGCAAACTTCTAAAAAGCACAAAATACAGGTTGAGTTCAGGGGAAAGGTATACATCTGTTTGTGATTAACTGGGTTTATTCCTACTCAGAAGACTGTTTACCTTTAAACAGGTGCCATTGTTTCAGATACTTATTAAGCCTGCATTGCCAGATACATTTTGAACATTATCAAATACAGGATATGCCACAGGCTGTGACAACTATGGCTGCTGTAGCACAAATTATCCTGGTTCAAGGAAATTTGCAATAAAGCCGCTCCTTTAATCATTTACACATTCCTGAAACAGTTCGGGAATGTAACAGCCCTAGGACCTGTCCACAGCCAAAAACTCCTTTCAGGCACTTCTGTCTCAAGTCTTGGTCTTGCAGGTGACTATTTATTTACCCTAACAGCAATAGTCTGGGAGGCACAGATAGCTCCGTGGGCTAGTGGGACAAGTTCATTTCAGAGTGGTAAAATACAGTCAGGCACAAGAGCCCTGCGGTCCGAGGCCTCCTTCCAGTCAGACTGCTTCTCCACCTATGACAGTAATAACTCCAGGGTCAGGTACAAACGCTTTCCTTTCACCTGCCACCTGATCCTTTTAACTGGAAATGGCATCAGGGACTGACCTTGGGACCTTCCACATGCAAAGTATGTGCTGTACCTTGCACGGAGCCTGTTTTGGCAAAAAACAATCAGGAAAGATTTGACAAGTCTGCATCTGAGCATAATTTGAGGGAAAATAACAGCAAGGCATGCAGGCTTTCAAATAATGCCCAGTTTGTTGACCAACCAGGAACCTATTAGCAGATCTACAGGAATGTCTTCTAGGAAACATTCTGTGGAAGGACTTTCCAGAGAGTCTTGCAAGTTCCAAAGTTCCCATTTTATTTACCTTTTATTCACTTTATAAAGTAGATCTTCTCAGATAATCAGGGTTTAAGGCTGTAGAAGCAGCAAAACTAAAAAGTAAACACTTAGGGAAGAGGTTTCTAACACAGGTTTTGCGAGGCTCATTACAAATAATTTACCACAGCAACCAAAATTACCAAGAAGAAAAATGCATCTTATTTTAAAATTACTTAGATAATTAAGAGCCCTGTACATTCAATGTTGATTATATAACAAAAGCTATAAAATAGAGTTCAGAAATCTCCAGACATGCACACACAATCTGCGTGTAAGACAAGCAGCCCATCCTTGGTGTTTTCAGGGGGTGGGACTGCAAAGCCAGGCATAATTAACTTGCTAGATTAAGCAGCATTGTCAGACACATAAGGCTTCCAGTGATGGAATACGCAGCAGCAAGTTCAGTGTTGTTTTCTTCTAAATGAACAGCCTGGAAAGGAGGAAGAAAGCAAACAACAGGTTTATGAGAACTAAAAAGGTTTTACAGACAATTCCTCAGGAAAACTTGAATGACAGGATCCTCCAGCATGTATTTTCTTTGTAATGGGCCTAAAGGTTCTACAGCCTCCTTTAGCCAAAGGCTGACTGGGCAATTAGCACTGATGTTTATCTTAATATATTCTCCCCCAGAGACCAGAATGCAATCTCTTTAACACAGTAGCCATTTGCATATTCAGATTTATCAAAATCATAGCACAGAATGCAGGGAGCTCTCATATACTCCAAAGACCCCCATCCCTATCTCTGTGTGTATCAATGGGTACAGGACTCCAGTTATGCAGTCCCATCCTTAGTTCAGTTTCCTGAGGAACAGCACTATGCAGACAGACAGAAAGGGGGGTCCGCAACTCCTGGCAGGACCCAGAACCACATCCTTTGCAACCCGTACGGCAATTTTTGCTAAAAGTGGATTTTCTTTGTCAGTCAGTTCCCACAATCCAAGTCCCTATTTTATAAATTTATATTTTTCCTTGCCTCTCATCACCTTTTCCTGTTTCTGAGAAGAATTAGAACATTATACTTTCAGTTATGCAAAAATTAAAAATCCCTGTTCTTCAACTGCTGAAGTAAGAGTGTCCTTCCAGAGGAATATTCGGTCACCCAAAAAAACAAACAAAAGTCCTGTAATCAAGCCAGTCGAACTACTGGCCCACGAAGTCCAATACTGTCTCTCTAGTGGGGATTGCCTTCCGAGACTTGAGGGAGAGACAGCCGCAAGAATTTCTTAAATGACTGGCATCTTTGAGGGGATGACTCCTGCCAACGAATGCTAAGACATGACATCCATGGAGCTTTCTGCATGCGGGTGGCAGGACTGGGGAGTCCAGTGCAGTCCCCTACCTTCTGTGAGCCTGGCCTTGCCCCCCGTTGGCTGGCATAAGACAGTCGCACATCCGACACACGGCACTACCATCTGGGCATGGCTGAACACTGTGGTAATCTTGTAGCATCCTGAATGTAAAACAAACACACAAACAGGCATTGCTCGTGCAAATAGATGCACCCCAATGTCACACTGCAGTTATCAAACCAAGTGCCCAGTGCCAGGCTATGGTCTCAGATTCCAGTCAGTGTGCAAATGTCAGTGAATATTCTGCTCCCTCTCCGCTGACTGGACGCTTGAACCTGGCTCTCTTTCCCCCTCTACAGTTGTCATTAATTTCAGTGGAGCAAATGCCCGCTTTGCTGTCAGAGGCCAGCCCCGGTGGTCAGCTAGCCAGCAGCTGTTCGACTGTGGTGCTCTCCGAGTCATAACTGGCTGGTTTCTCCCTCAGAGACCCAGGTTCAGATGCCAGGGAGAACCTTGTGGCTTAGTGCGCCAGAAGGGGTGGGTGGTCAGGAGTCAGTGTCACTCAGTCCCAGCCAAACCATGGTGAGCAGGCTTGGTTGTTTCTTTGTGTGAACAGGGTCAGTCAGAAGCTTCCAGTGCTTCCAGAAGCTTCTGGATAGGACAAGCAGTACCTGAGTGGTTCACAAGAAACAGCCATTTTAGGGCTCCTGAGGACTCAAGTCTACCCATATGGGAGATAGTATCTATCACATGCGGAATGTGAGCCAGCAGAAGGGCCAAGTAAGTAATGGGCTACAATCTTCAGACAACACTGGTCTAAACATGACAGTCCTCCATTAATCACACTTTCAAATACAATCTTTGGGCTGGAACTATTTGAACAACTTGACCTTCAGAGTAATCCAGGCTAATAAGTAACTGCAGTATATCAGAAATGAAAGTGGGAAATGAGCCATATCAGCAGATTCTAAGCTGCGTGCAACACTGCATGAGCAAGCAAAGGCCTTTTTTTCTCGAAAGAAAACATACAGCTGACCTTTATACTTAGAAGTATGTATTATAGCAAAGGAGATAGATGCCAAAAATGTTTCTACTGAACAAGTGTTCATATTTGAGAATACTGAATCAATAGTGTTGAATAACCGACCTATTCTACATATTATATGTTATACTTGTATAATGCAGAGCTTTAGCAAAATGGTTGGAAGCAGCAAAATCATTTTGTATACGCAAAATTAAAATAACCCATTACGAAACCAAAGAAAAGCTTTAAAACCCCCGGTAAGCATTAGGCATTTATCACTGAAATGCTGAACAGATTTGTTCCTCTTATTAATTTGATGGGCTAGATTATAAATTAAGAGAATCGAATGATCCATTCATCTGACCTTGGCTTTGCTTTCCTTAAGTCACAAATGGAGGATTCAACATGCAAATTCCAACCTCATCTGTGTTTTGCAGCAAGTTTTCTATGATCCATTGCCAGAGAAAACACATTAAAAAATAGTTACCTGGACACTTGACATCCATGAAGTAGGAATTTGGACTCTGTACCAAACGCTTCTTTTTGTGCTTTCTCTTTTCTTCCTCTGAAGATGGGTGAATCAAGTCTCTAGCCAACTATGCAAGGTACCAGAGGCAAGATAATAGTGGATACCACAAAGCAGAATTTGTTAACTTGGTTGGACATTTTCTACCAAATACCCACTAGATCATTTTGGCATCTAAGGCAGGAAATCCAAGGGGTATCCCTTCCCTTCACTGACCAGCAGTGCACAACCATAGCAATTTCCCCTTATTTCAACTATTTTCCACCAGATTGTGTCCCTTCAAGCCAGAACATTCCGTCTCCATGGTGGCATCTAACCATGGCAAACCGATACCCAGCCCCTCTCCTTGCCAATTTTTTTCCCGTGTAATCTTGGCCTCTCCTCCTGCTTTGTCAAGCAGACACGCTGCTGCAGGAGTGGTGTTATTACAGGTCCAGCTGTCCCTCACTTATCTTTCTAACTAGGCTTTGGTGGGTGCCATCTGTTCAGTTAGCGGAATGTGTGCCAATTCCTCGAAAAAGTGCAGTGAATTTCTGAGCGGCTCCTCCATTGACTCTAAAATTAGCCCCGTCACAGCAGCCGTGCAGCCCAAGGATGCCTGGGTTTTCGGGGGAAAGAGTCTCCAGGAGCGCCTTGCCCAGCCAACGGGTGCAGCCACGGCCAGTTGCTGCACCGCCTGCTCTCGAGGGCAGAAATAACACTGGCCGTCTTCGGTGTTGCGGTGGCGTCTCTTAACAAGGGCCCCATTTCAGCACCTTCGTGTGAACGTGGGCGAGGGGGGGAGAAGGATGTAAACCTCCTCCTCCCTTCAAACGCCATGCCGCGGCGGGGGGGGGGCGCTACCTTCACGCTACGGGGATGGCAGCAATCGCGCCGTGTCGCTGGCGAGGGAAGGAGGCTTGGCTGATGGGTCGCGGACACGTGCCCCAGTATACGGAGGGCTGGGAAGCCAAGCGGGGAAAGCGCAGGTCCGCGGCTCCCGGCCCTGCCAGGGGGATCCCGCCGCCCCCGATTCTGGGAAACCGAGGCCGCCAAGACGCGCGCAATTCCTCGCGGGAGGAACGGGCGGTCAGCGCTGGCCGCACCCCACTGCCTCAGGCGGGCGCCTGTCCCCGAAACGCGGCCCCGCCGGACGACCACTCACAGGCATGTCTCCGTCGGCCCATTCCCCGCGCCACAGTGCGGCGCCCTCCGGACAACAACACGCCCAGCGCGGGACGCGCGGCGCAGGCCGCCCCCAGGGCCGTCTCCAGGGCGACAAGGGCGCACTTCCGGGACTCTCTAGGAGTCCAGGCCCAGGACTCGGTGGTCAGGGCGCGCAGTCCCAGCGGAAATCGGGCCGGGGAGGGCTTTCCTCGCGAGGGGGGCTTGTTTCGGAGCCAAATAAATCCTCGGGCTTTTCAAATACGCTTTGCGGCGTTTTGGGGAAGCGGTGAGTTGAGGTGCTTTGTAAGTCCTGAAGGACCGTTGAGGTTGGCTTCCCCCCGCCCTCTGCCCGCGTTCTGTGAATCGGAATGGCCAATGAGGTTTGAATGACAGCGCTTCGTCCCGCCCACGATGCTAATCCGCGACCGAGGAGGGGCTGCGTGATTGGATAGGAGGCGCTGGAGCGCGTTGCCTCGGTCACGAGAGAGGGCCATGAGGAAGAGCCGCTCCCAGCATGCACCAGCAGTGATCCTCACCCACGTTTGAACATAGGAGAGGCCTACAACTCCCAGCATGCACCATCTCGTAATCTTAGGCCGCGTTCAGGCGGAGAAAGGCCTCCTATTCCTACCATGTTGAAGGCCCATTTGTTTCGTCTAAACATGTCCTTTTTTCGTTTAAACATGGTCTGGAATTGCCGCCTTGTGCAAACCCTTGATCTATGTAGCTCTTTCTTCTCTACACTAATTGGCAGTGGTTTAGACCTGTTCCAGCCCTACCCAAAGCTTGGATTATGCAAGAACTAAACTCTCAAAGAACCCATGGCCTGGTTATTTAGGGATATTCAAGGGTTGTCTGGCCCTTGTGTAGTGCACAGTCTTCCTGTTTGGACCACACAAGTCCTCTCTCAGCCATGAAACTCACTTAGTGAATTTGAGCCAGTAACTGACTCGTAGCCTAGTCTACCTCATAGTGCTGTTGTGAGGATAAAATGGAGAAAGATTTATGTATATGAATGCCTTGAAAGAGGAAAAATGTGGGAAGTAAATACGATAAATTTATGAGCAAAAGTAGAGACCAGAGTAAGTGAACCAGAACCAAAGTCACAGAGGGAGGTGATCTGAGGCTGGGAGAACAAGGGAGCAGGGAACAACACAAAGTTCATGACAGGGTAGGTGGCCAGGACAAAGCTCACTTGCCCCATGACTGTTTTCTTAAACATATGATAAGGAGAGCAAAAGTTCGTGTTATACAACTTAAGTATATGCTTTATGGCTGTGAATGGTGCTTATGGAAGATAGGCATAATCAAACATTTCAGAGAACGCACCACCCCAGGGCAGGGATGCTGGGCTGCAACCCCCACAGCCCTGGCCAGCGTGACCTGGAAGGACTACCATGCTGCATTCACTGCCCTGAGTTTCAAGGTGCAATCCCATACAGGTGTAAACAAAGGATTGCACCAGCATGCACCCTTGAGAGCCAATGTGGCATAGCGGCCAAGAGTGAAGGACAGGGGCTTAGGCAATCCAGGTTCGAGTCCCCACTCGGCCATGCAGGCAACTGGGTGACTTGGGGCCAGTCGCAGACTCTCAGCCCGGCCTGCCTCACAGGGTTGTTGTTGCAGGGCAGGAGGAGGAGAATGATGATGTCAGCCGCTCTGCCTTCCTTAAAAAGAGGAAATAGCAGGATATGCCGCCAACAAGTCAATACATGGCTAGATAGAACCGCCAGGGGGCGGCAGCGGCGTGCGGAGCCCCTCCCACGAGCCGCGGCTCAGGCCCAGCCAGAAGACTACCCTTCCCAGACGCCCCTGCGCGCGGGGGGCGGAGCTCCTGGCGCGCGCGCTCGTGCGTCCGCGCTGGCGCCCCGCCCCCTGCGCCGGCGCGCCCCGCCCCGCGCGCCCCGCCCTCAGTCCCCGCGAAGATGGCGAAGACGTACGACTATCTCTTCAAGCTGCTGCTGATCGGCGACTCGGGCGTGGGCAAGACCTGCCTGCTCTTCCGCTTCAGCGAGGACGCCTTCAACACCACCTTCATCTCCACCATCGGTGAGCAGCGCGGCGCGGCGCCGGCCCCGCCGCCGCCCGCGAGCCCCGCCGCCCAGGCGACCCGGGAG